CAGAACATTTGCCACTTACCTGCGAACAGGTTGTGCAAGTTTGCTGCGAGGCACTGGTATGCCCCCAGCAGAAGGGGCACTGGGTCTGGGCAAGCCACTTCTCATTGCAGTTGTCCCTGCAGGTCTGGTTAGAGTAGTGCTGTTGATATTGCTGGGAGGATTTGCTGAGACTGTGTTCTGAACCATAGGAGGCCCAGGTGAGGAGGTGGTTTGTGCGAGCTGTGTTATTTCTTGGCTACCAGGAGAACCAGAGCCATGATTACTAAATGCTTTCACTGGTTGCCGAAGAGCCAAAGGAGATGGTGCTGCAGGGGAACGGAATTTGCCTGGAGAAGGTACTGTGAAGTGGTGAAGAAAAACCAATTTTTGAGTGGAAATCATATATAAATGAAACCATGACTTTAAATTACAACTGATGATTAGGTACTAGTATATTTTATTCAGAAAACATCACAGCAATGTAAAGAATAAAAGATATTCCTGGGCTACTATAAGAATAAAGGTAACTGTGAGCTGTAAATTACCAAGTACTTAATTAGAGGATTACAACTCTCTTTAGCAACAGTATTTTAAATCTGCTGAGCATGGTAGCATGCACCCATAATCCCAGCTACTTGAGGCTGAGGCAGAACTGCCTGAATCCAGGAGGAAAAGGCTGCAGTCAGCCCCAAAGATGCCACTGCACTCCAGCCTGGGTGACAGAGCAAGACTCTGTTTCACAAAGAAAAAAGGCCGGGCACAGTGGCTCACACCTATAATCCCAGCACTTTGGGAGGCCGACGCAGGCAGATCATCTGAGGTGAGGAGTTCTGGACCAGCCTGGCTGACATGGTAAAAACCTGTCTCTAATAAAATACAAAAATTAGCCAGGCATGGTGGTGTGCCCCTATAGTCCCAGCTACTCAGAATCTGAGGGAGGAGAATTGCTTGAATACAGGAGGTAGAGGTTGCAGTCAGCAGAGATCATGCTATTGCATTCCAGCCTGGGCGACAGAGCAAGACTCTGTCTCAAAAAAAAAATAAATAAGTAAAGGAAAACAGAAAAAAAGCTTATGTCCACACAAAGACTTGACTACAACTTTATGACAGCCAAAGATTGAACAAAGCTCAAATGTACATCAACATGTGAATGGATAAACAAATTGCGGCATAACCATACAACAGAATACCACTCAGCAATAAAAAGGAGCAAACTACTGATACATACAACAAAGATGAAACTTGGAAATTATGCTGAATGAAATGAGTATCCAACACAAAACAGCCTGTGCATGTGTATATACACATACACACATTGTAGAATGTTGTTATAAAAAATTTGAGGAAAGTCCAATCTAATTTATGGTAAAAAGAAGTAGGTCAGATGTTTGTTAGAGGTTGGGAGCAACCTTGGGAAATTCTACCAAATGTTTAAATAAAGAATGAACACAAATTCAACATAATCTCCATCACAAAATAAGAGAGAAGATGTCCCAGTTCATTTTATGAAGCTAGTATTACCCAGATACCAAAAAGGACAATGCCAAAAAAGAAAACTACAGCTCAATACTGTTTACAAACCTAGATGTAAAAACCCTTAAGAACACATTAGAAAATAGAATATAGCAATATATAGATTTATATGCCATGACAAAGTAGAATTTATTCCAAGATTCGAAGTTTGTTCAATATTTGAAAATCAGTCAGTGTAATCCACTACAGTAATAGGATAAAGAAGAAAAATCACACAATTGTTAACAGCGAACTCAAAAAAAGCATCTAACAAAATTTAACACAGTCATGAAAAAAATTCTCCAAAAAAAGAAATACGAAAAATTTCCTCAACCTCATAAAGAACATCTACAAAAGCTCTACAGTTAACATTAAACTTAATGAAGAAAGAGTGATGCTTCTCCCCTAAGACCAGGAACAAGACAAGAACATACAGTCTATCCACTGGAAATTCTAGCCAGTGCAATAAGCAAGAAAAAGGGGGGAAAAAAAGAAAAAGAAGACAGAAAAACAGAAAGAAAGAGAAGAAAACAAGAAAGAAAGAAAAGAAAGTAAAAGGCCCATAGGTTATAAAGAAACTGTCCCCATGATAGTCTACATAGAAAATCCCAATGAATACTCTCTCTCTCTCTCCTAGAAATAAGTGAACTCAGTAAGGTCACAGGACTGGATAGAAATACAAACATGGATTACATTTCTATATGCCAGCAATGAACATTAGAAATCAAGATTAAAAATATTGTAGCAATTGCACTGCTCGAAAAGAAAACCACTTATGTATAAATCTAATAAAAATCTCAGTCAATGTAAGTTTGCTGTGAAGAGAAAATGAGTAGTAAGTGTGTAAACTGTTAGTAAAATGTAAAATATTAAAAAATTGTAAGGCATTCTTATCTATGGCTTTCTTATCTAAAGAATAGGGCTCCTTCAGCCTGTCACAGATGAGTTTTCTGGAAAGATATTCAACAATGCCATTCAGAAAAGTCTCCTAGGCTTTCCTTAGAAATTAACTCAAACCTAAGTATTAAGCTATTACTCAAAATGTATTACCCAAGTTGATAATGACAAGTTACAATTTCTCTTTATATATATTTTTTGAATACCAAGAATTACACTCAAGTCAGGTATAAAATGAAGGAGAGTCATCTGCTCTGAGCAAGAATTAGAACTCTATTTATAAAAATGACATGATTAAGAATGCTAACCTTAGTGTCTAAGTTATCTCCAAAATGGAATGATGGGTAACAGAATTTGTGTTTAAAAATATCTTTTATTTTAATAAGTATTTAATAATTGTGCTAAGTTTGTTTTCTAATTAAGGTTTCTATAATTCAGGCATGGACTTAACCCTAAAATGAAAAAACTGAATAAATTATATATCTTTTTAGCTTGATATTCACTGAATATAAAATGTTTTATAAAAATATATACATTTGCCTAGCAATACAAAAGTTAGATATTCCAAGTTGTATTCACAGAACAGTCTTCCTTCAAACTACAACTTCCATTGTAAAAACTATAAATGCCCATTAAGTATATAGTAATAAAAATAAATACATTGCCAAACACTGGTCATCATGACCATGAAAGAAGTGATTTATTAAAACATATATGAATTCCATTAAAACAAATAAAATACAAAAATATCTCCTTGTCAACTATTCTTTACTATACTATCATTTCAATTATTCAATGGTCTATACACCATTAATGATAATCACAATTTTACATACTGACACAGTATGTAAAAATAAGTTCTGGCTGCTAAAGAACAAAAAGATGAACTAAATATGATTCTCTCACTAGAAAGTTAAAGAATACTTGTAAAAAGCTATTACTGACCATGTACTCTAACACCCTCACTTCACAGACAAGGGAAATTACCACAATCACAGAAGTTAATTGAGCAAATAAATAGGAAGTCAAGAACTGAACCCAGGTCTCCTGATCCCAAGATCAGTATTCTTTTCCAGGAACCAAAAGAGAAACATATCTGGGGGTGGAAATTAAAGTGCCATTATCATTTCTTTTTTTTTTTTTTTGTATTTTTTTTTTCCTTTAGAAAGGAAAGAAGAGAAAAAAAGGAGTGAGGGAGAGGAAGAAAAAGATATTCCCATATTGCTTTATTCTAAAAATGGGTATTAATAATGGCCAATCAATATTTTGTGTATTTAAAGTGAAGAATGTATATTTTGTGTATTTAAAATGGAGAGCTTTATAAATATTTATTAAGTTTACTTGTTCCAGATCTGAGTTCAAGTTCTGGCTGTCCTCATCAATTTTCTGTCTCATTGAGTCTAAATCTCTTTATGGGTCTTATGTATCTGGGTGTTAGGATCGTTAGCTCTTATTGTTGCATTGATCCTTTTACCACTATATCTTTGTTGCTTTGAAATCTATTTTATCAGATGCGAGAATCGCAACTCCTGCTTTTTATTTATTTATTTATTTTTGCTCTCCATTTGGTTGGTAAATCTTTCTCCATCCCTTTGTTTGGAGTCTTTGTGTATCCTTGGATGTGAAATGGGTCTGCTTGCAGCATACCGTTAGGTTTTGGCTGTATCTTTTGATTGGGGGATTTAGTCGACTTAAATTTAGGGTTACTGCCATTTGATGTTAACTGGCTATTTTATCCATTCATTTATATAAATTCTTTATGTTGATGCTCTTTACTTTTTGGTATATTTTTAGAAAGGCTCATAGTGATTGTTCCTTTCTATGTATAATGCTTCTTTCAGAAGCTCTTGCAAAGCAGGCTTGGTGGTAATAAAATATCTGAGTACTTGCTTGTTCATAAAATATTTTATTTTTCCTTCAATTGTGAAGCTTAGTTTGGCTGGATATGAAATTCTGGGCTGAAAGTTCTGTTCTTTATGGATGTTGAATATTGGCCCCCACTCTCTTCTGGCTTGTAGGGTTTCTGCTGAGAGATCTGCTGTAAGTCTAACAGGCTTCCCTTTGCGGGTAACCTGACCTTTCTCTCTGGCTGCCCTTAGTATTTTCTCCTTTGTTTCAACCCTGGTGAATCTGATGATTATGTGCCTTGGGGTTGTTCTTCTTGAGAAATATCTTTGCGGTGTTCTCTGTATTACCAGGAGTTGAATATTGCCCTGCTTTGCTATATTGGGAAAGTTTTCCTGAGTAATATCCTGAAGAGTATTTTCCAGCTTGGATTCATTCTCTCCATCACATTCAGGTACACCTATCAAACGTAAATTAGGTCTTTTCACATAGTCCCATATTTCTTGGAGACTTTGCTCATTTCTTATTATCCTTTTTTCTCTATTCTTGTCTTCTCATTTTATTTCATTCATTAAGTTGGTCTTCAACCTCTGATATCCTTTCTTCTGCTTGATCAATTCGGCTATTCAAACTTGTGCATATTTTGCTAAGCTCTTGTGTTGTGTTTTTCAACTCTGTTAGTTCATTTATATTCCTCTCTATATTGTCTATTCTTGTTAGCATTTCGTCAAACCTTTTTTCAAAGTTCTTAGCTTCTTATTTCTCTCTTTTATCTTTTTTTTTTTTTTTTTTTTTGAGAGAGAGTCTCACTCTATTGCCCAGGATAGAGTGCAGTGGCACAATCTTGGCTCACTGCAACCTCTGCCTCCCAGGTTCAAGCAACTCTCGTGCCTTGCCTCCCAAGTAGCTGGGACTACAGGCGCATGCCATCACATCTGTATAATTTTTTGTATTTTTGGTAGAGATAGGGTTTTGCCATGATGATCAGACTGGTCTCAAACTCCTGGCCTTAAGAGATCAGCCTTTCTTGGTTTTCCAAAGTGCTGGGGTTGTAGGCGAGCCACCACGTCCAGCCAAAGTGTCATCATCAACATTTTAACTTTCAACCAGACTCAATTTACTTGTGGGGGTCACTATCCTAGGCAGGTTTTATAAGGTATGACTCCAAAGCCTATTAAAACGGCAACTGCTGACAAGTAACCATTAAAAAAAAAAAATGACACAGAAGCCTTTGATTTCTTCTTCCATTATTGTACATGACTATTATTTTTGTAAGCATAGAAAAATTGCTAGTTATTACAAAAGATGTATTAAACATTATAGGCAGTAAAAGCCCCAGGAATGGGGCTTCAATAGCTTTTCTTCCATAAATACAAAAATTAGAGGATTGATTAGGTATCAAAACATCTGCTATCAAGATTTGTTGAGACACATATTAATTTTAGTATACAGAATATAAACAGTTGCACATCTATACCTATATAACTTACTGTATTTTAGTTTAATAAATTATCTAACATTTAACTAACCTTAGAGTATCTAGTGAGTAAAGGGGAAAAATGTTGATGTCAAGATTAAGAAACATAATTATGGGGATTCTTGAAAGATGGTACTGGTGTAATTTACAAATTTCCTCAAATCTCTCCATAAAAACATACAGAGCAACCAGGAAGGTCAAACCAAAACCCATTTACAACAGCTACAATAAAACCAGGTGGTGAAAAGATCTTCAAGAGCCCCAAAATACAAATGGGTAGAGAGAAGCCGCTGACAAATACAAGACCACATGAATTATCAGCATCTGTGCAGAAGGAAGCAAAAGAATATCTCAACGTCCTGAAAATTCCAAAATAACCAACAAGTACTCATAGAAAAAAAATGCTAAACAGCAGCTGAAGTGGGAGGGGTTTGCACACTCCAACAGTGGGAAAGTACAAGAGGTTTACTGTAAGGTCTAGAAGGAATCTGAGTGGCTATGAATTCTTAAAACTCACCAGTCAAACCCCTCTTCTAGGTAAACACTTCATGTTAAGGAAAAAAAAAAAAAAACTCAGAAGATAATCCAAACAGAGCAGAACAGGGACATTCCACATAAAGGAAAATGAAGTCCAGATAAAAGCAGGGAATAGTTCAAAATGCTACTACAACTGGATATCCATGTATAAAAGAATGAAGTTGGACCCCTATGCTTCATACTAAAAAAAATTCAAAATGGATCACAGACTAAGTCCTATAAAGTTCTTAGAAGAAAACGTAGGAGTTAATTATTATTTTTTGCACCATAAATTTTATTCCTGTTGTGGTACAGATTTCTTCCATCCCCAAAATGAATGACATGCTGCCTTGGAAAGACCTAGGAAACTCTCCCACTATCTTTAGGGAAGTAGTGAGAAAGGCAGATGCTGAGGACTAGGAAGGCTTTGAAGTTTCCCAGCCTACTTATCCTCCCCTTCCTAAAAGAGGAGAGCAGTTCTCTATTATTCCTCTCATCCAGTCACCACACACACACACACACACACACACACACACCCCTAGTTAAAACAACAACAACAAAACACCCGCCAAACAAAACTGCTTCAAGTATTCACAGTCGGGGTTCGTAGGCTGGGACTGGGGTTATGGGTCACCAATGGAAGAGGGAAGGGAAGAGGAGGAAGAGCCATCACTGTTTCTGCTGTAGGGCATTCTTCTTTGCTGCATTCTGCAGCAACTGTGTTGACCTTGTTGGCTGGCAACTGCACATATTGGACCACTAAGCCCCGAATGAAGATGTGAGAGTATTTCTCAGGGTGACACTGATGTTAGTTAATTTGATGCTGAGATACTGATCCACAGAATGGAGGGTTCCACAGATATGCAGGTCACTCTCGAGTTCCATGACCACATCCTTGCCCACAAGGGATTGAAAAAGGAATAGAAGAGCATGGTCCTGGTGCTGTGCTGCAGGCCAGAAAGAGAGGAGGGTAGGATACCTCAAGCCCAGCTGGATTTGGGGAAGGGAAGGGCCACTGAAAGCTCCAAGTACTGAAGGGGAAAGCGCAGGATTTGTGTCTGGGAAGGGCAAGCGGGGTAGAGCAGAGGGGACAGGAGTAATAACTAGGGTTAGGCACTGGTTTCTTATGACACCAAAAGCATGATCCCTAAGATCAAAATTTGATAAATGATACTTCATCAAAATTAAAATCTTTTGTGCTTCAAAGGATACCATAAAGTAAGTGAAGAGTAAATCCACGGAATAGGAGAAAATATTTACAAATCATGGATCTGAGACTTGAATCCAGAATATACAAAGGAATGTCACAACTCAATTAAAAACTAAAAAAGCAGAGACAAAGAATTTGAATAGACATTTCTCCAAAGATAAACAAATGGCCAATAAGCACATGAAAAGATGCTCAACGTTAGTCATGCAAAATAAAAACCACAAAGAGATTCCACTTCACAACACTTCACCAGAATGGCTAAAATAAAAGACAATAAACAAGTGTTACTAAGGAGATGGAGAAACTGGAACCCTCACACAGTGCTGGTGACATTGTAAAATGTTGTAGCCACTCTGGAAAACATTTTAGCAGATTCTTAATATGTTAAACATAAAGCTACTATATGATCCAGTAATTCCATTAAGTACATAACCAAGAGAACCAAAAACACATCTATGTAAACACTTGTACATGAATGTTCACAGCATTATTATCATTACTATTACTATTTGAGATGGAGTCTCGCTCTGTTGTCCAGGCTGGAGTGCAGTGCCATGATCTCAGCTCACTGTAACCTCCGCCTCGTGGGTTCAAGCAATTCTTCTACCTCAGCCTCCTGAGTAGCAGAGATTATAGGCATCCACAATCACATCCAGCTAATTTTTGTATTTTTAGTAGAGATGAGGTTTTACCATGTTGGCCAGGCTGGTCTCTAACTCCTATCCTCAGGTGATTTGCCTGCCTCAGCCTCCCAAAGTGCTGGGATTACAGGTGTGAGCCACCGTGCCCAGCCGCAGCACTATTCACAATAGGCAAAAGTATCCACCAAGTGATCAATGGATAAACAAAATGTGGTGCATCCACACAATGGAATATTTGGCAATAAAAAGGAACAAAGTACAGTTATGTATCACTTTACGATGGGGATATGTTCTCAGAAATGAACTGTTAGGCAAGTTTGTCCATGCAGGAACATCAGAGTGTACTTATGCAAACCTAGGTGACTTACACTACTACACACCTAGGATATAAGAAATACCTGATGGCAGGGTTGGGGGAGGTGGAGATGGTTAATGGGTACCAAAAAAAATTGAGAAAGCACAACCAGATGATGGTAGTCAACAGTAACTTAATTGTATATTCTAAAGTATTTTAAAGAATGTAACTGAATTGTCTGTAACACAAAGAATAAATGCTTGAGGGGCTGGGTACCTGATTCTCTATGATGTTATTTCACATTGCTTGCCTATATCAAAATATTTCATGTGCTCCATAAATACACACACCTACTATGTATCCACAAAATATTTTTAAAAACAACCTATGGCTCCTAGGCTAAAACCGATATAGCATATTACTGTACTGAATACTGTAGGCAACTGTAATAAGGGCATCTGCATATCCAAACATACCTAAACATAGAAAAAGTACAGTAAAAATGTTATAAAAGACAATATACAGTACATCTGAGGACACTTGCCCTGAATGGAGCTCATAGGACTGAAGTTCAGTGAGTGGTATGTGAATGTGAAAGTTACTGTACCCTACTGCAGACTTTATATAAACACTGTACACTTATACTGAATTTATTTTTCTTCAATAATACATTAACCTTAGCTTGCTGTAACTATTTTACTTTATATGCTTTAACTTAAAAACTTTTTGACTCTTTTGTAATAACTCATAGCTTGTAACACAAACATGTTGTCCAACTGTCCAAAACTACTTTCTTTCTTTATTCCCTTAATCTATAAGCTTTTTTTTAAATTTTTGTTTACTTTTTTTTTGTTTTGCTAAAAACAAACAGAAACACACACATGAGCCTAAGCCTATACAGAGTTAAGATCATCAATATCACCCCATCTACCACCTCCACATCTTGTCCCATTGAAAGGTCTATGACATTACTAGGTGATAGAAATTGCATCATTGTATACGTGATCCATTGTTGACTGAAATGTGGGTTTTTTTGTTTTAGATTTTTTGAGATAGGGTCTTGTTCTGTTGCCCAGGCTGGCAGTGGTACGATCACATCTCACCACAGCCTCAACCTCTCAAGTTCAAGCAATCCTCTGACCTCAGCCTCCTCAGTGGCTGGGACCACAGTTGCAAGCCACCATGTCTGGCTAATTATTTTATTTTTTCTGATCCAGTCTTACTATGTTGCCCAGGCTGGTCTCAAACTCCTGGGCTCAAATGATCCTCCTACCTCAGCCTCCCAAAGTGGCATTACAGGCATGAGCCTCTGTGCCTGGCCCTGAAACACTGTTATGCAGCAAGTAACCATACTGATATATGCTACAAAATGAACTTAGAAAACATTATGCTAAGTAGAGGCAGCCAGTAACAAAAGATCACGTATTCATTATTCCACTTATATGAAATGTCCAACACAGCAAACTAGAGACAGAGAGGGTAGATTACTGGGAGGCAGGGGCTTGAAGAAGTGAGGAATGAGGAGTTCTATTAATAAGTATGGTGTTTCTTGTGGGGGTGATAAACATCTTCTAAAATAAGATAGTGGTAATGGTTTCTCCCTCTGTGAATATACTAAAAAACACTGAATTGTACATTTTAAGAGGGTACATTTTGAAAGTGGAGGAAGGAAATAAAGGAAAGAAATCTCAGAAAATAAGCAGCCATGTTTTTGAACACTTCCAAAAACAAGAGATGGTTCGATAATTTTTGAACAATAAAATTATTAAGTTTTAAATCAAGCTAAGTGTTTAGAAAAATCAATTTCATTGAAAAAAGAGCAATAGAAAAGGACTGAAGTCAAATCACACATAAAATAATTTTAAGAAAAAAAGAATAAAAAAGGAGTAGAATAACACTTCTACAGGAAGTGAAACCTTAACAGAAATCATGGTAAGAAATCATACACACAAAGATAAAAGTATCTAGTATTTCAAATTTTAGAAACATTTTAATATTGCTACAAGATAGGAAAGAATAGCATAAATCAGAGTGAGAAACACTCAGAAATGAGTTGATGGAACTCAGGAAGGAATTAGCTATAAAATGAATCATTTTAAATGAAGTCTAAGGAGGAACATTAAGAGTCAATACACAGCAGATAATGTTCTAAGAGAAACAGACAAAGAAAATAAGTTCAGTCGGGCGCGGTGGCTCACACCTATAATTCCAGCACTTTGGGAGGCCAAGGCGGGTGGATCACGAGGTCAAGAGATCGAGACCATCCTGTCAACAAGGTGAAACCCCATCTCTACTAAAAAAATACAAAAAAATTAGCTGGGCGTGGTGGTGCGTGCCTGTAGTCCCAGCTACTCGGGAGACTGAGACAGGATAATTGTTTGAACCAAGGAGGTGGAGGTCGCGGTGAGCAGAGATCGTGCCATTGCACTCCAGTCTGGGTAACAACAGCGAAACTCCATCTCAAAAAAAAAAAAAAAAAAAAAAAAAAAAGGAAATAAAATAAACTTGTATAAAAGAAAGAAAAAAATGATTCAAGAGAAGGCAACAAATATAGAAACAAGAAATGAACCTCCAATACGTGTACAACAGGAGTCCCCACAAAAAAGAAAACCAAAGCAAACGAACAGAATATGAAAAACTATAATTCAATAAAACTTTTCTGAAAAACAGAAAAAAGTTTGCTACTCTATATTGAAAGAACACACCCGAATCTGAGAAAATCGGCTCAGAATGACCAATAGATACATTCTAGTAAATTATTATAAAGAAAAGAAAAATATCCATTGTACATCCAGATAAAGACCAAATGATTATAAGGAAACAATTCTTTATTCTTGCAGAAAGTGGAGTAATATAAATTACTTAAAGAAAATGTGAGCCAAAGATTTCATATCTAGACAACGACTTTCAAGTATGAAAACAACAGACAAGCTATCATCAACATGTAACAGTTATACTGTTCCCATAACTGCTTCTTAAGGAATCTACTAGAGAATAAGCTTCAGACAAGAAAAATGACTGATGAGAGACAATGACATATAAACTGGCATTAAGCATCAAATACATATTTAAATGGAGAGCCTAAACTAAATGAGGCATATAAAAAAGAAAACAGTATCTAACAGGTATCTGATAATGTGAATATAACTTAAAGGAAAAAAAAAAAAAAAGGAGCAAGCATAACCAAAAGTTTTAAAAACTGTTTTCAGTAATCATAGTGTATGTTATGTTAATGTTATCCCAAGAACACTTTGTGTGTAATATGGGACAAAACAAATTATGATATTCTAATTCTATGTGTTGCTAAGAAATAAGATTCTCAGGATGGGAGAACGCTAGAAGAGGTTAAATAATCGCTCCTCCACCTCCGAAAGAAATACTCTAACAAAGTTAATATATAAGTGGAGGGAAAACTAGAGAGGATCTGAAGAGGTATACTAAGCTGTAGTTAAGCTATTGCAAAAAATGTTTCATGGCAGCAGCATTTTGGCTCATCTATAAACATGTGGGCCAGGAAATCATAAAAATATAATGAGGTTAATTGGACATAAGTCATCTTCAAAGACCTTATAGTTGTAATTTTCACATTCTACAAGGCAGTCAGCATTTAATTAGGAAAATTAAGGCACAAATTTCAGACAGAAGAAAATTCTGACATATGACTCTTGCAGCAAAGAAAATTGATAGATGTAATTGAGATTTAACTACAGATTAAAAAAAGGTATTAGAAAACCATAAAAGCATTATTAAGTCTAATATTCAGTTATCATTCCAAAAATAGCATGAAATGGCCTAACGGGAATTTGTGTTTGGAGGGAACCTCAAGAGAACAGCGTCCATGCTTTCTTCTCTCATTCTCCCAGTTTTACATATCAAAATCATAGTAAACAACTCCTATCATTTTAATTGTTTCTAAGAAGTCTGTGTATGTCAGAAGAGATTTTGAATACAACTATACTAGAGAAGCAAATACAGGCTAGAATAGAGAAGAAAATAGGAAAGGATATAATGAGTGTTATCTTGTTTATGATACAGATTCAATATCTGTATGTCAGTTTTCAATTCAATATGTCAGCTGATAGAAAAGAACACAAATTTTTAATTTTGAATCCTACATAATCACAAAGTTCTTTGGTTCTCCATTTTCAGGTAGTCTAATATCAAAAGGCATTTTAGTCATTAGAAATGCAAAAGTTGGAGGGGTGAGCCAAGATGGTCAATTGGAAGTAGCAGTGGTCTGTGGCTCTCACAGAGAGGAATGAAAAGAGGAAAGAGTAGAGCGAGTGAACTCTGTACCTTCAACTGAGATTTCCAGGTTCTCACATTAGGACTAACTAGGCGAACAGCCTGACCCATGGAGAGTGACAAAAAGCAGCAGGGTGAGGCAATGGCCTGGGTGCAGTGTGGGGCCAGGAGAGCCCTAACTGCCAGCCAAGAAAGGCAGTGAGTGATTGTGCAACCCTGTCCTGACCTGGGAGACCACACTTCTCCCACAGATCTTTGTAACCAGTAGATCAGGAGATTCTCTCATAAGCCCACGCCACAACAGCCTAGGGTCCAAAGCACAAAGCTGTGTGGAGTCTTGGCAGAATGGCCACTCAAGCACTCATGGCGACCCAGTAGTTTTGCATACTTCAGTTCCGGGAATTTTTGCAAGGCAGGAGATCCCTCAAGCACTAAATATGAAAGGGAAACTACAAAAACACACTGAAGTACATAGACCAGTGACCCTGTGAAGCAACCACATAAATAAGTCTGCAAAATTATCAGCTAGCATCATGACAGGATCAAATTCACACCTAACAATATTAACTTTAAATGTAAATGGGCTAAATACTCCAATTAAAAGACACAGAATGGCAAGCTGGATAAAGAGGCAAGGCCCATGGGTGTACTGTCTTCAAGAGACCCATCTCACAGGCAAAGACACACATAGGCTCTAAATAAAGGGATGAAAAAATATTTACCAAGCAAATGAAAAACAGAAAAATAGCAGGAGTCACAATTCTACTTTCTGACAAAACAGACTTTAAACCAACAAAGACTGAAAAAGACAAAGAAGGGCATAAAATAATGGTAAAGGGTTTTAAATTCAACAAGAAGAGTGAACTATCCTAAATATGTATGTCCCCAATACAGGAGCACCCAGATTCATAAAGTTCTTAGAGACCTACAAAGAGACGTAGACTCCCACATGATAGTGAGAGATTTTAACACCCCTCTGACAATACTAGACAGATCATCGAGACAGAAGATTAATAAAGATATTCAGGACTTGAACTCAGCTCTGAATTAAGTGGACCTGAGAGATGTCTTCTGATCACCACACAACACTTACTCTAAAATTGATCATGTAATAGGAAGTAAAACACTCCTCAGCAAATGCAAAAGAACTGAAATCATAACAGTCTCTCAGACCTCAGCACAATCAAATTAGAACTCAAGATTAAGAAATCCACTCAAAACCACATAACCACATGGTAACTGAACAACCTGTTTCTGAATGACTCTAGGATAAATAATGAAATTAAGACAAAAATCAACTTTCTTTGAAGCTAATGAGAACAAAGAGACAACATATCAGAATCTCTAGGATGCAGCTAAGACAGTGTTAAGAGGGAAATTTACAGTACTAAATGCCAACATCAAAAGCTAGAAAGATCTCAAATCAACAACCTATCGCGACAACTAAAAGAATTAGAACCAGAGCAAACAAAACCCAAAGCTGGCAGAAGGTAAGAAATAACCAAGATCATGAGGCTTCAGATCTTTGTGGGAAAAAAAAACAACAACAAAATAACCAAGATCAAAGAGGAATTGAAGGAGACAAGAAAAACCCTTCAATAAATAAATAAGTGAATGAATGAATGAATGAATGAATCTAGAAGCTGTTTTTTCTTTTTAATTAATAAAATAGATAGCTACCTAGAGTAGTAAAGAAGAAAAGAGGCCAGGCACAGTGGCTCACACCTGTAATCCCAACATTTTGTGAGACAAAGATAGGTGGATCACTTAAGGACAGGAGTTCGAGACAAGTGTGGCCAACATAGTAAAACTCTGTGTCTACTAAAAACACAAAAAAATTAGCTGGGTGTGGTGGCACATGCCTGTAATCCCAGCTATGTGGGTGGCTGAAGCATGAGAACTGTTTGAACCTGGGAGGCAGAAGAGCTTGCAGTGAGAGCCTGGACAACAGAGAGAACCTATGCCTCCAAAAAAAAAAAAAAAAAAGAAAGAAAAAGAGAAGAATCAAATAGACACAATCAGAAATTATAAGGAGAGTATCGCCATTGACTTCACAGAAATATAAACAACCATCAGAGAATACTATAAACACTGCTATACACAGAAACTAGAAAATCGAGAAGAAACTGATAAATTCCTGAACACTGACACCATCCCAAGACTGAACCAGGAAGAATCTGAATCGCTGAACAAACCAATAATGAATTCTGAAATTGAGAAAGTAATAAATAGCCTGCCAACCAATGAAAGCCCAATACCACATGTATTCTACCAGAGGTACAAAGAACAGATAGCACAATTTCTACTGAAACTACTCCAAACAATTGAAAAGGCTACTAAAACTACTCTAAACAATTAAAAAGGAGGGAATCCTCTCTAACTTATTCTATGAGGCCAGCCACATCCTGATACCAAAACCTGGCAGAGATACAACAACAACAAAAAAAACATCAGGCCAGTATCCCTGAAGAATACTGATGCAAAAATCCTCAGTATAATACTGGCAAACCGAACCCAGCAGCACATCAAAAAGCTTATCCACCAAGATCAAGTAGGCTTTATGCCCAGGATATAAGGTTGGTTCAACATACGCAAATCAACAAATATAATTCATTACATCAACAGAACTAAAGACCAAAAATACATGATTATCTCAATAGATGCAGAAAAGGTCTTTGATAAAATTCAACATCTCCTCACATTAAAAACTCTCAATAAAGTACGTATTGAAGGAATTTACCTCAAAATAAAAAAAGCCAAATATGACAAACCCCAGCCAGTATCATAATGAATGGGCAAAAGCTGGAAGCATTACCCTTGAAAAGCAGCATGAGACCACAATGCTCTCTCTCACCACTCCTATTCAACATAGTATTGGAGGTCTGGTGAGGGCAATCAGGCAAGAGAAAGAAATAAAGAATATTCAAACAGGAAAAGAGGAAGTCAAATTATCTTGGTTTGCAGATGATGTCCAAAAAACTCCATCATTTCAGCCCAATAGCATCTTAAGCTGATAAGCAACTTTAGTAAAATCCCAAGATACAAAGTCAATGTGCAAAAATTGCTAGCATTCTTATACACCAACAATGGGCAAGCAGACAGCCAAATCATGAATGGTCTCCCATTCACAATGCTACAAAAAGAATAAAATACCTAGGAATACAGCTAACAAGGGAAAAATAAAGGGCCTCTTCAAGGAGAACTACAAACCACTGCTTAAGGAAATCAAAGAGGAAACAAACAAATGGAAAAACATTTCATGTTCATGGATAGCAAGAATCAATATCGTAATAGTGCAAAAGTGGTTGTACTGCCTAAAGTAATTTATAAATTCAATGCTATTCCTGTTAAACTACCATTGACATTCTTCACAGAAATAGAAAAAAAATATTTTAAAATTTGTATGGAACAAAAAAATAGCATAAATATCAAAGATAATCCTAAGCAAAAGAACAAAGCTGGAGGCATCATGCTACCTGACTTCAAACTATACTACAAGGCTACAGTAACCAAAATAGCACTGTACTAGTACAAGAACAGACACATAGACCAATAGAACAGAACAGAGAAATCAGAAATAAGACTGCACATCTACAACTATCTGATCTTTGACAAACATGAAAAGAGCAAAAGGGAAAGGACTCCCTATTTAATACATGGTGCTAGGAGAACTGGTTAGCCATATGCAGAATATTGAAACTAGACCCCTTCCTTATACCTTATACAAAAATTAACTCAAGATAGATTAATGACTTTAATGTAAAACCCCACTCTATAAAAACCGTAGAAGAAAACTAGGCAATATCATTCAGGACATAGGCTTGGGTAAACACTGCATGAGAAAATGCGGAAAGCAATTGCAACAAAAGCAAAAACTGACAAACGGGATCTAATTAAAAAGCTTCTGCACAGCAAAAGAAACCATTAGCATGAACAGGCAACCTACAGAATGGGAGAAAATTTTTGCAATCTATCCATCTGACAAAGGTCTAATATCCAGAGTCTACAAGGAACTTAAACAAATTTACAAGAAAAAAACAACCCTATTTAAAAAGCGAATAAAGAACATAAACAGACACTTGTCAAAGTAAGACATTCATGGGGCCAACAAACATACAAAGAGGCTAAACATTATTAATCATTAGAGAAATGCAAATCAAAACCACAGTGAGATAATGAGATAATAATGACAATTATTAAAAAGTCAAGAAACAACAGATGCTGACAAGGCTGCAGAAAAAAAGGAACACTTTAACACTGTTGGTGGGAAGACAGTGTGGTGATTCCTCAAAGACCTAAAAGCAGAAATACCATTTGAGCCAGCAAGTCCATTACTGTGTATATACTCAAAGGAATATTAATCATTCTTTTATAAAGATGTATGCATGTGAGGCCGGGCGCGGTGGCTCAAGCCTGTAATCCCAGCACTTTGGGAGGCCGAGGTGGGTGGATCACGACATCAAGAGATCGAGACCATCCTGGTCAACATGGTGAAACCCCATATCTACTAAAAATACAAAAAATTAGCTGGGCATGGTGGTGCGTGCCTGTAATCCCAGCTACTCAGGAGGCTGAGGCAGGAGAATTGCCTGAACCCAGGAGGCAGAGGTTGCGGTGAGCCGAGATCGCGCCATTGCACTCCAGCCTGGGTAACAAGAGCGAAACTGTCTCAAAAAAAAAAAAAAAGATGTATGCATGTGTATGGTCACTACAGCACTATTCACAATAGCAAGGACATAGAATCAACCCAAATACCCATTAATGATAGACTGGATAAAGAAAATGTGGTACATATACACCACAAAAAACAATGCAGCCACAAAAAACAATGAGTTCATGTCCTTTGCAGGGACACAGATGGAGTTGGAAGCCATCATCCTCAGCAAACTAATGCAGGAACAGAGAACTAAACACCACATGTTCTGACGTATAAGTGGGAATTGAACAATAAGAATATATGGACACACTGAGGAAAACAACACACACTGGGAGCTGTCAGGGGCGGCAGGGGAAGGGACAGCATCAGGAAAAATAGCTAACGAATGCTGGGTTTAACACCTAGGTGATGGGTCGATCTGTGCAGCAAACCACCATGGTACACATTTACCTATGTAACAAACATGCACATGTACCCCAAAACTTAAAATAAAAATTGAAGGAAAAAGACAAATCTTATAATTAAGGTCTTCTATAAATATGGTTTATTTCAACTTGAATATGTCAAAATATAATTAAAAAAGTATTAAACAATTACTATTATTCCTTCTTAGTTACCTCTTTCTTTCTAAATAACTATAAAACAGGCAAAATATGAATTTCCTTCAAAATACAGAAGAGGCAAGAACTTTCATATGTTTGTTGGCTGCATGAATGTCTTCTTTTGAGAAGTGTCTGTTCATGTCCTTTGCCCACTTTTTCATGGGGTATTTAGAAGGAAAGAGGCAACTAAAAGGGAATTAATATCATCATATTTCTGCATTCACTTTGTCTAGTTAGTCTTCATTTTTCCCCACGGCTTGGTGAGGTCTCTGCCCTATTTACCTCTACTTCACTCAGTGCCTAACAACAGGGAATGAATAAATGAATAAAATCTTTCCCAAAGCAGTTTAAATAGTCACTCCCATGAAATCTTAAAAAACATACACTGGATTGTTTTCCTCAGAGTAGGATGGGCTGAAGAAACAAAAAAAACTTGCAAAAAGGAAATGCAAAGAAGAACATATCCAACCTTTTACGACTTTAGCAGCATGACTATATTCGTTCAAGAAATATTTATGGAGTGACTGTGCCAAGCAACACAGTTCTGACTTTCCATCTTCAAACACCTGCTACTACTAAATGCAATTAAAATCAAAGTGACTTTATTTCCAATTGTTAAGTAATCTTTTTCCTCTTCCCATGATCCTGTTAGCCTACGATATACTAGCTCTCTAGAAAATCGTACAGGTTCACCCCCAGGATGGATGAATTGATTTGTGTGCCGATTTGTCACTTTTGGTCCATGTTTCTCAATTGGACATGTTTAATATGCCAAATATACCTGTGAACAGATGGCCTCTGTCTCCTGTGTGCCTCACATCCCTACAAGAGAAGAGAATTCTACCAGTCAATGCAGGCCCCCTCCCTCCCAAAGTCTCCATATGAGGGAAAACCAGAAAATCAATTTTGGCCTTGGATCCAAAAGATATTCTCCATTTCAGCTTCATCAATAATTAAGGTAATATCTTAAATCTTACCTTATTCCTGTGTCCATTTCTCAACTGGTTTAAAATTTATAGAGAAGAGGTAGGTAATGATAATGCCCATGTCCCAATACCAACCAGAAAATGTAAAAGTCTGGATCAAGTTAAATAAGGGATTGAACAAAACAGAACAGCATACCCTGTGCCCCGTCCCCCAACCCCCTACTTCTTTCCCTTTACTAAGTCAACAAGACAGCTACAGATACCAAGAATTCCAGGTTTGGGCTTTCCTATCATCTTATCATAGAGGTGGCTAGTTTGATGGCTTAGAGTGATAATATAACCCCTATAGGCAAATTTTTAAAGATTCAGCCAGAAGTTATGGTCTTAATCTGATCAACAGAGCAACATGAAATCTTTAGGTAAAAGTTTTAAATTATGTAAACCTACTTGATTCCAAAAACCATGATGAAGCAGCTTAAGGAGACAACCAACCAATAAAATTTATATAAACTTAAAATCTTCTACTTTTTTATTATGGTATAGTGTGATCTCTTGACCTAGTTTAGATACCACAATGTTTTCAGGTTCATGTTTTTATATGACTCTCACCCCTAGCCATGGAAGTACTCAAAAATATTGAGACATCTCAAAAAAAAAAAAAAAAAAAAAAAGAAGCCTACGGTTCCCAAATAAGTTCATAAAAACCCCTTTCTATAATGGCCCCTATTAATTCACCGTCTTCCCCATCAAATATAATCTATCCAGTCCATTATTAATACACCTGAAAATGGCACCAAAAAACGTTCACTAAAGGCCTATGATCAACTTCTGATATTCAAAACACAAACATTCATACATCCTACTTTTTTATTTCCCTATTTGACTTTCCTTCAAATTCTATTATCTAGAACAATTCCTTAAGTTATACTTAATCCAAGAAATCACTGTGAAAACATTTACAGTAATAAATTTCCCAAAACATCTATTATAGCACTTTTGTAACCATAACCAAATCTTTTTTTTCAAAAAAATGTAATTTCTTCTTCCGGCGTAATTTTCTTTAGTGCTTTACCTCTGTTACATGCTTTTGTTATTTATTGAAGTCTGAAGCTATCAGAAAACCTACATATTCTGGATTGGAAAAATATTTTTCCACATTGTATTTGTTTCATACCATTTCCTCTAAGGCCTCTGTTCTTATTGCTGTTGGTCTATCCAATCCCACTATTTTCTCTTAATTCTACTTCCGTCTAGCTGCTCTGTCTAGCTGCCCACACATTGAGTGTCTTGGAACCAATACTGGATAGTTTTGATGTCCAACCTTCATGTATTTCTTCAACTCTCTATTATTATAAAAGCTACCACTCCATAAACATTCCAAACATATCAGTTAACCAAAACTTGTGATTTAACTTCAATTACCTTCTAATGTGGAAGTGCTCCCATTTTATCATACAGATAGATAAGTAAAACCAAAAATAGAAGTCTGCGGAAAAAACATCAGCATACAGAACGTCTGACATTTGGTTCATTTTAAAGCACTTATGAAGTTCGGTTGGCATAAAGTTGAAACAATGACCTTTCATTTAAGATGGTAAGAAAATTAAATTCTCTATATATCATTTACTCCTTTCAGAAAAGCAACCCAATACATACCTCTGCAGAAAATGTTTCTTCTGAATTTATCTAAATAACAGAATAAATCCTCATTATTTTATTTTATTTTTTTAAAAAAAGACTAAAACGTACCTTACAGACACTACTGACTCAGTATGCCAAAAGGCTTAAGATTTAACTAGATAATGTTGAAATTTTAAACTGAGTAAGAGGCTGTAGTTACCTCTTTTTGTAGATGAAGTTTGAAGCAACTGTTTGGCTTTGAGGGAAGTACGAGGCAAATTTTTCAGCCTTTGCGAAGCTGTTGAAAAATAAGGAACTGTAATATTTGCCTGGAAGTACAAGATAAAGGCTATAGCGTCTGTAAACTTGAATGTTTTCATACAAACTTGAAAATTTATCAAAGAGCAGAAGCCAAAGATACAAATATGTTAGAATCCTAGAAGCAAAAGAATTTTAAAGTGATGCTTAGTGCATTAAGTTGGAAAGAAAAGGGAATAGAACATAAACTTTAAAAAATAGTTTCTTATAGATGAGAAAATATCTAATATGTCAATGGGTCAAAATATCAAAGAGAAAACAAACCACCACAAACATGCTAGGGATACAAAGATAAAAGTGATGAACACAAGCACACAGTATAGAATAAAGTGCAGCACTTGCTCAAAGCAAAAAAAAAAAAAAAGCATTTTGGCAAAGCAGTTATTGTTAGATGAATTGCCCTAATGTCAAACCATAATCTCCATACTCAAAAAGGAGAAGAAAACTCAGAACCCAGCAGGTCCTTGGGAAGTCGTAGCTTTAATATATTCAATATCATCTTGTACAGTACAACTAATTTTTTACTTCACACTTTGGATAGTGCCATATCTACGCTGTGCACATCTGTATGTACATGGGGGGCATTGCATGCAATGTTGGTATGGGTTGAGGGGTTTGGAGGAGTCAGATTGTCTACCTTTGAAAGTTTTCAATGAGGAAAGCTAAGCTTTCTTCCAAACTCATAATCTGCTAATTGCACTGAAACTCAAAATTAGTAGGTAAGCAGGCAGCCCAGGGTCAGCCAGAGATAAAGTGGTTCCAATTTCTCCAATACACAATTACTATGGTTCTGACAGACTGATGAGTCTTGCACCTACCAGTGTATTTAAGTGGCTCTAAAATATTTTACTCTATTGATTTGAAAGTCAGACTTCCTATACCTTTAGGGTTTATGTGCAAAAAAAAAAGAGCTCTCATCACTATAAATCTAGCCAGATTGCATAAACATTACTGGGCTGATAAAGGGATACTTGATATATTATGAGAAAGAATGAAGATTTCTTGGCCAGGTGAGGTGGCTCACGCCTGTAATTCCAGCACTTACAGGCCTTTGGGAGGTCAAGGCAGGAAGATTCACTTGAGCCTAAGCGTTTAAGACCAGCCTGGGCAACACGGGGAGACTGTCTACACAAAAAATAAAAATAAAATAAAATAATAAGCCAGGGATGGTGATGTGCCTGTGGTACTAGCTACACAGGAGGCTGAAGTGAGAGGAGTGCTTGAGCCCAGGAGGTTGAGGCTGCAGGAGCTGTGACTGTACCACAGCAGTCCATTCAGCACGGTTGATGAAGCAAGGCTCTATCTTAAAAAAAATACAAAAATCTGTTCCCTGTATTGCTTAACTCTATCAAAACTGGAAAGCCATTCTTTCCTTACAGGTAATAAACTTTTAAAAAAGTAACAAATGTATTGATTTCAAATTTTATAGCACTCCAAACATTACTGTAGCTAAATAACATTTGATATCAACTTAAATATTGCTAGACAAAAAAGCAAAAACTTACCCCTATCTAAAAAAATCAATTTTATAATGGGTTAATTTTTCTTTTTTTTTTTTTTTGAGACGGAATTTTGCTCTTGTCACCCAGGCTGGAGTGCAGTGGTGTGATCTTCACTCACTGCTATCTTTGCCTCTTGGGTTCAAGTAATTCTCCTGCCTCAGCCTCCCAAGTAGTTGAGATCACAGATGCCTGCCACCACTCCTGACTAATCTTTCTAATTTTAGTAGAGACAGAGTTTCCCACATTGGCTAGGCTGGTTTGGAACTGCTGATCTCAAGTGATCCATCCACCGCAGCCTCTGCTAGAATTATAGTCAGGAGCCACTGTGCCTGGCCAATGGGTTATCTTATTTCTACTGCACAAAAATACAGGTAACTATCAGAGTACTTTTCATTTAAATTATTTACTCATACATGTTTTTAACCATTTATATTTTATTCATTCATTCACTCACTCGTTCCTATCTTTTTTTTCAATTCATTCAAATAGTTTAATATCTGCTTTATTCCAGGTACTGTTTAGGTATAATGTATTCAGGAGGCAACTAGATACAGTTCCTACTCACATAAAACTAATATTCTAGGGAAGGGGAGATAGACAATGAGGCAGTAAAATATATGGCCTGCCAGATAGTGATAGCTGCTAAGGAGAAAAGTAGAAAAGAGGGACAGGAAGGCGATTTAAGTTGCAATTATAAATAGAGTGATCAGGAAAGATTTCCCTGAGATGACATGTGCACAGAGATCTGAAAGAAGATAGGAAGTAAGCTACATAGATATGAAAGGAAACTATTCCAGATAGAGGGAAAAACAATTGTAAAAGATAACCAAGATAGGAGCATGCCTTGTATGTTTGAAGAACAGATTGTAGGCCAGTTGTTGGGTGGAATAAATGAGGGCAAAAGGTAACCTACTGAAAATACACTACAGTCCACAATATCTATTAACTACTGAAAAAAATTTTAATAAGAATTCAATGTTAAATAACATCTATAATAAACTCATCTGGAAGGATCCTATTTGAATTAACAGCTATGGTGACTCCAATGGAACCTACCCTATTATCCCTCAAGTTTCACATGTGATTGTAATAACAACAGTATCTAAAGACAAGCAAAAACTGTGCTGGGAATCTGAAGAATCAGATTACACACAGAATCAGGCAGTAAACTCTAAATTCACCTGATACAGAAATAATGAAATGAATGATTTTCCTAAAATACCAGAGTCATATAATGTAACTCCAATCACAAAATCCAGTGTTTCAGTTTTCTAAAGACAAAATCATTTTTAAATGACAAAGTGTAGTAGTTTAAGTGAAACTCCAAATCTTTTTAATAATAAGAGTTCAGTGTGTTAGCTGTTTGAAAATATTTACGGTTTAAAACTTTCCTTGGTTATTTTAATATTTATATAATTCCACTTCGCCAATACCCTACTGTGAGAAGCAAAGATGCTAGTGCAAAATAATTGTTTCACGCTACCATTATAATGTCTTCCTCCACAAACCAGCTTAAAACATCTCTGTCAAAATACCATTTTCCAAGTCATTCTAGCTCAAAGCTTTCTTACTTTAAATTCCATTTATTAATCTCTGGTCATTTCTTAAATCTATTGCTTCCTTTACATTCCTGTTGTCTCCTAAATAACCAAATTCAGGACTTCATCACATACTATTTTTGGATTCCAATCGGTGTCTTTTGTGGCCTCCTTATATTTAATTCTTTTCACTCTATTCACATACATCAAGGGAAGGGTGGTGAAAGCGCTGCCCATCTCCCCAGGTGTGTACTGTCTGTATGCAATTTACAAACAAAAATCAAATCAAGTTGGCATGCTTTCTATTATCATCATGCCCCAGCAATAATAATCAAATTTGTTAAAAAAGCACTCCTCCCTGAAAAAAGTTGGTCCAAGCGATAAACAACTGTTGAATTTTAATGACATACATGTAAGCTTTAAATTAGCACATTTTGTGACTTATCCTGTAATAAATACCATACTTCACACAACAGTTAATTATGAAAATTCCCAATTATAGTCTTCTACTTATAGTCTTCTCTGATATAGGTGGATTCAGCTATATATGTTCCTTTCAAGAGAAAGTTGGTAGCAATCTGAAATTATTCAAAATTACTTCAGCAAAGTGTGCCTCCAATTCTGTAGTACAATATATTTAAGCACATGAGAAATAACAATGGTACAGTGATTTTAAAATCAATGAAAGGATTTTAAGTTGCCTCAATTCTGTCATTATATGGGACTATGAGCTTGTGTTTAAAATATTTTAACTGGCCAGGTGCGGTGGCTCACACCTATAATCTCAGCACTTTGGGAGGCCGAGGCGGGTGGATCATGAGGTCAAGATCGAGACTATCCTGGTCAACAAGGTGAAACCCCGTCTCTACTAAAAATACAAAAACTAGCTGGGCATGGTGGTGCGTGCCTGTAGTCCCAGCTACTCGGGAGGCTGAGGCAGGAGAATAGCTTGAACCCAGGAGGCGGAGGTTGCGGTGAATTGAGATCGTGCCATTGCACTCCAGTCTGGGTAACAACAGTGAAACTCCATCTCAAAAAAAAGAAAAAAAATATTTTAACTGTGAAGACACTGAAAAATTAGACTTGATCCCTGAAAAACAAAGGCGTGGAAAGTAGGGGAATTTCTGGAATTTATTGTAAAATGAAATTTTAAGAATCTTTGCTGAACTTATTTTCTCTGTAGCAGTTGCTTCATGAAAAAACTTTCAAAATTAAAATTTAAAGATAGTTTTCTTCCATCAAGTATGAGTAGAGATAGAGTAATAAATCTGGCTATGGTGTACTGAGTCTCAATATAAAAGATGAATTTGAAGAAATTATTACGTTTTCAAAAATGAAAGCTATACTATTCACCACTGTGACAGATCAATATATAAAAACATTTTTCCTTTTTAAAAAAATGATCAATATAACTTCAAATTATTAACCCACTATCTTTTTTTGTATTGCAGTGTTGATTTTATCATTTACTTTTTACTGACAGTTATAAAATACAGTTTCAATAGAAGAATATTTTCACTGCCTGCTTTTTTTCCTGGCCATTAGTACTATTAACTCATTTCATTTCATGATTATTAAAAATAATATTTTCATATATAGGAGGATGTTAAAATCTAGCTTCTCCAGGTGCTAAATACTAAGTAAGTAAGCATAGCCTCTGTGAATGAAGATTAATTACTGCTTGGTAAAATACCCCACTGTCTCATATCCTCATTTTTATTTAAATCTTTTATTGCATACAAGTTTTAATTTAGAGTCATTTGGGAGGCAGAGGTTGCAGTGAGCTGAGATTGTGCCACTGCATTCCAGCCTGGGAGACAGAGAGAGACTCTGTCTAAAAAAAAAAAAAAAAAAAAAAATCATCCAGATCTCATCACTTCCTCATTTGTGTCTGTGTCTTCAAATCTTCATTTCTTGCCTAAATTATGCAATAATAGCCT